TACAGCAAAATTTTCCCAACTCCGAGAAGTCAACATGATATTTGGAGTCAGAGCATCTTCCATAGACACACAAAATTAAGTACAAACTTCAGAAATAAGGAAGCAATCCATAATAACAATCTCGCGTTCTGCACATAGTACAGCAGCTGTCGTTAATTTATCAAGGATGGAATGTAAGGACTGCAAGTTCTTAAAGTCGAAATTTAAAAAAAAATGAAGGGTATGAGGATCAAAGGATTTTCACTAACAAAAAATGCATGAAAACAAAGGCAAATTTATCTAGCCTTCTGAAAAGTGCATCTCATTCAAAGATCGCTAGATAACGCTGTCGCCTCTTCCTTTAAGGAAAAGAAAATACATTCCTTTTTTCAAATTGCTGCTTTATTGATAGCCAAATGTAAGCTAAAATCTATTCAATGCTATTATACATGTTATAAATTTATCCAAATTCATCATTGTAATTTATTTACAAATTGCTTTGTACAATATATCTGAAGTAGTAAAAAAAGCACACCCATCATGATGTAGAAGTATTCACAGAAGCACAAGGAAAAACCCAAACTGTGATGCACACACCGTGGTTTTCAACCACACCGGATTTGAAACTAGGTGAAGAATGGTGCTTAATATCTTAATAGTACGTGCAAATGAGCGCAGGAAAGAGATCTATAGAGCTCAACCTTACCCCTTTAAACATATTTAAACCTAATATGAAGCAAAAACCCAGAAGCAACGCGAACCCACTACACGCTTGAATTATAGGAGAAAAAAGCAGGTTGCGTTTGGCGTAAAACGAAAACTTATGACTGAGGTGTGGACAGAAAGCCTGCACTTCAAAGGTTATATGATACAATATGTAAAAACCAGCAGACTAGTAAAATGACTGCCTTATTTATCCACTAGAGAAAGTTGCAAAATTCGTTGGAGTTCTTCTTCTTCTTTTTGAGCTTCTTCCTGTCGCCTTTGCTCTTCATCGCGGGAAAGACGAATGGCCAAGGCAAGACTATC